ATCGCTAGACGAACATCTCCTCTGGACCTCGCCTAGATCTCAAAGTGTTGTATGTGGCGCCGGAGAAAGTGATAATCCGTGAATGACAACGATCCGTGGAAGTTTTATGTGCAAGTACATGAAAGCCGCTTGAAGGGAGTTCGCGTAGGTCATGAAGATCCGATATATCTTCCGCTATCGGTCGGTGTTATCGCAGACGGGTCGTCTCGTATCAGGGGACTTACATATTTATCGCACGAAACACGAAACTCGGGCATCATCTATCGTTTTCGAGTCCTATTGATGTAGCTTACACCATGCTACTCAACCCTTAATTGCTATGCGTCATTCTGATTAGATTAGCTTCTTCCTTTTATCAAAGTATCTATATTTGAGTTCTCTTTCTATCCTTTTCAACTGATCGGTCTTTAATTCCTCATAAAGATATGGCGCTTTAAATTGGGTTGATAGGTTAATCTCATCGTAATTAAGAAAATAGTGTATATACGTTCCCTTGAACTAGTTTTATCGCGTGCACTATCTATTATCTGCAATCTTTAAAAAACGTACGTCCATAATTATCCTCGTAGGTCTAGACAATTCTTAATATGTACATAAATTTTGCTCGACAGCTCGAGTAGAATTAAGATAAACGCTATTTTAAAATAATCTACAGAAAATGGAATAGAAACGAATAAAAATAAATCAAAATTTCTATTAAAGAATTTTCTCTTTCGTCAATTAACATAAATTCTTTTTCTTGGTAATGTTTTCCATCGTATAAAGTAATTTATACGAGATATTCTTTGAATAGTCGGACAACGTTCTAAATATCACGTTATCTCGTCGCATCTATTCGTCCGCGTATTTCGCGCTCGCTCGCCGTTTTTGCGGGAGGGGGGAAGCGTCAGCATCCGAGAGACGGAGCCGAGAGGAGTGCGGGCAAAAGGGGGGTACTACCTGGAAAACCGAAGCGCAGGAGTACTCTCACCCCGGATCCACGCCCAAGCGTTCCCCTAACTAAGCAGAGGCGTCGCGTTCGATACGGCGCGGAAGAATCCTCCCCCTCGTCGCGTGTCCTCGCATCCTCCTGCTTGTCCCGTCTCCCTGTCCCTCATCCCCGTTTCCCTGGCCTCTTCGATCGACGTCGCGTCGGCTGTCTCAATGAGAGAGAGAGAGAGAGAGAGGGGGGGGGAGAGAGGGGAGAGAGAGAGAGGCGATCGATTCGCGTCGACGTACTATGGCCTGCTTACGCGGAGAGCACTGACCCCCAAGGTCGTTCTTACGCGGCTGCACGTGCTGCCGCGAATTGACGTTGCCCCTCTCTACCGTCGATCGTCGCCTTCCCCCCTTCCTGCCGCCGCCTCGCGGAGTACTTGATCCGCCGTCCCCCGGTCTCTCCCCCTCCCGCTGTCGTGGTGCACGCTGCACTGACACGCTTACATCGCGACATTCGCGACGACGACGACGACGACGGATACCGCCGACCACTTCTGCGGCCTCCTCGCAGCAGCGCGCGTGACATATGAATTCAAGATATCGATATTCGTAAAACAGTCGAGATGGGGAGGAGGGAGAGAAAGAGAGAGGGAACGGGGTCTGATAGGGAGCATGAGACGCAGAGAGGTGGACTGCAGCAAAGTCAGGTGGATCTCTCGAACGCGCAGTACGTGCGCAGTGCCTTGCCGTGCGTATCTTTTAATAAAACGATGCTAATTTTCTATGTAACGTTGCAATTGTACTTACGTTATGCTATATATACAAGCGAGACGGTGATATAGATTGTTTCCAATTTGTGGAAAGAATCATCGTCACGTTTCAGGTATCACATAGCGATCTTTGCCTCGTAGATCGCCTCGAGAGGAAACGACTTAACGAGCTAACATTTGCTCCAGCTCTCAGTTATTTATCACACATCCTCCAGAGATCCATAATTAGTACTTTTATCGCGAAGAAGAGCCAGTCGGTGATTACCGATTAATGCATTAGTCGTTACGAACAACGTAACCGGCGTCAGATCGTCATTCCGCGGTTCCGGCAGGGGCGAACGGACGCGCACGCTCTGTAATCGCGCATTCACGACGTCTTACCGCGTGCGTGCGTCACGACGCACATACGGGCACGTTTGCACATCGACGCGGACACCAATACAAATCAATTCTGCTGCGCCTAGAGTTGTCGTGCGATTATTAGCATATATTCTAACGCTCAATTGCACGTCGGCTTACTTCCGCGTTCTCGTCACACACGAGTCACGCTCTTGCTCGAGCTTCTATTCGCTCTCCTCGCTTGCTTCACACATGCACATAGACGCGCGCACACACGCGTCATTGTGCTAATTAAATATGTCGCGGACATCGCGGAACATCGTGAAAAATTTGAGGCACTCCCTCAGTCGAGATATTCATATAATGTCAGTGACTGTGAAAAGGGAAAGAGAAAGAGAAAGGGAAAAAGAATTTTTTATTTGATTTAATGAGAGAGTTCTGAAAAGATAGTAGACTACATCATAATACGCGAAAAGAAGCGTAGTTAGTAATTTAATTGCGCGATTAAGTAATACTTAAAAAGCGGCGATATTTTTAAAAGTAATTATATTTGCAATAGTGATCACTGTCTTTCAATTGTTATCAAGTATTTATTTCTTAAGTAACTTCGTTAAGTGGTTAAATAAATGCTTATTGGTTGAAGCCTTATTACGGAGAGGGGCTGAATAGTCGTAGCGCCAGGATAGAGGCGCACGCGAGTAAATCAAAGCCTCGCCTACCAACTTGCGTCGCTATTTTAGACGTTTCGCGCCTTTTTCACCGCGAGGCCGCGACGACGCCCTGGCCCGGCTGGCCCCACGCCAGATTCGGCGAGATTCATATGTCTGAATGCATCAGGCACGTGGAAGCGTTCCGAGTCCCGACGCGAGGCCGCTTTCGTGCACGTGCATATAGGTGCGCGTGCGAGGTTGACAGACATATCTTGCTTTTCTTCCTCGTGCCTCGAGTGTCTCCTTCCGCTTGTCCTCGTTTATGAGCCTCGGGACTGAAATGTTACGGCACCTATGGAGCGATGCCAAAAAGGGCATGCACGCTGGAAGATCGCAGCTTTAAATGAACAGCGCTGATTGAACTCTTCTTTGAATGGCACAATTTAACGTGTATATTCCCGCGATGCTCGGTATTCACGCGAATGCAATTGCTCGTGGCGCGTACTTTGATAACAACGGCAAACATTGATTCTTAAGTTAGGAAAAATGATAAACAATTTAATATAATTAAACGTCTATTTCAATGTATTTATAATTAGTATAATAGGAATTTTGAAGGCCGGTAAATGTTGTAAAATCTGTCAAACTCTTATTATTACGCCATAAACACGAGAGGCGCACCACTAAGCTGCGTGACGTCCTTGCGTGTGCATGACAGTCTTGCGGCTTACAAAGGACACATGACCGTGGCATAAAATTACCGATGAGACTTGGCACGGAGAGGTTTCTCGACGAGTTCATTAGCCGACAAAAATTATGAAGCATGCGTCAGATTTTTCCTCGTTGGTAAATTTTGGATTGGAAAGAAGAAACGTCTCTGCGAGAGATTAGCCGAATTCGGATTTTACGCGATCGTAGAAACGAATTGAGAGAGTTTTCGACGCGCGGCAATCGCGACTCGGGAAGCACACAGAAACATTGAGTACATAATAAGTTAATAACGGCCTATTGCGCTTTATTACGTATGAATCACCTCGAATACCGAACGAGAGAATTGACTCAATAAAGATAAGATAAACTGCTCGGCGGATGCGAAATAATCGTTGCGATGGAATTATACTACAACAATTCAGAGACGCGAACGGGTTAGAGCTGGGAAAGAGAGAGAGGGGGGAAGGTGGGAAAGAGACAGGAGAGAGGGGGAGAGAGAGAGAGAGAGGCGATCTTTCGCACGCGTGCATGTGAATGCCGAATGCGACATCGTCGAATCACATTACGGAAGTGCCCTTGTCGAGAGATTTCGCAGTTGCATCCCTACGAGAGGAATCCGGATCAACCGGATTTCCATCGATTGTGCCAGGCGCCGCTAATGGCATAGTTTGCAGAAACGCCCACGGTTTCGTATGTCCATCCAGAACGCCCTCCTTGGCCACATGGTCTCGAAAAGATTCGCTCTGTCAAAGGCACTCAAATATCGTTTGTTTCTAAATTATTGCAATATCAGTAACTTTGATTTTTTCTTTAAAAGGATTTTTTTCTAATATTCTATACTTTTGTTTTTTTTTCCTGAAAAGAGATGTAATATGAAATTCCTCATGTAACAGAATATGCAGTAAATATAATTTTCCTTAATTTTTTTCTTTAGTTTTTAACGCAGTTAAATTTGTATAATTTTTTTTTCTAGAGTATAACTTTAAACACTGAAACACACTTATATTGTAAGTAAATTTTGAATTACAAACATATGTATTATTTCTAATTTAGATTATCTTTAATTATATTTTTCTATTATTAATTCGTTGTACAACTGCTACAATTTTTGTACATTCCGAACTATGATATTAATTCCACCATAATTTCGCGACTTATAGCACTTATTCGAACGCGAATAGGAATTTTGAGTATTATCGCACTTATCCGCCTATGATTTCGGGTACGAAAAAGAACCACTTGATTATATTATATCATATATCCATTATGTGATGTTTTCATTTATTCCTACAATCTGTAAACCATTTTCATAATGCATAACGCGCTTTGTGGAAATCGATTAGGTGCCAATATCTTTTTTGCAGAAATTTTTGAATAAAATTTTTAAGTTTAAAAGATATGTTGCATTTTGTGATGGAGAGATATATCCACTGCGTTGTAAGAATTTCAGTAGTAATAGCATTATGCATAATGCTATTAAGTTGTTTACTGCACCACGCGAACGTGACATTTACGTGTTTATGCTATTTTTCGCGATGTATATCGTTCAATACGCGACGTAACACCACTCGTACCGGTGATTTAACAGACGAATCTGTCGATTTTGTTGCAGATGAGGAAGAGATCGACGTCGGAGAAGAGTCGGTCGAGTACCAGGCGACATGTTTCAACTCCGCGCGGACCCAGCACGGTAAAGCTGTAGTTACGAAAACAAATGACACCTACATTTGCCGCCGACCTCGTGGTAGACCACCAGGCCGGAATTACGGAAAACGAAAGAGAGACGCAGAGGATGATCAAGTTAACAGACCTGCTCCGAAACGTAGCCGCGTTAAGAGTAATCGAACAGTCAGACATCGGAATAACATTCAGCAGAACCAAAATGAATCCGAGGATGAAACCGAGGAATCCAAGAGACGTAACCACAACTGTCTAGAGCGGCAACGGCGGGCTGACCTGAGGAAGGTTTACGACGATTTAAGAAAAAATATTCCGGCAGTTGCGAGCAATCCGAAGGCGGCGAAGGTGGACATTCTGAAGTACGGGAGGGCACATGTTATAGAACTCATAAGGCTACAGAAGGCTTATAAAAGAGAATCAGATAAGTCTGAACGGTTAAAACAGAAACGTATGGTACTCTATAACATGAAAATAGAACTTGAGCGAAAAAGAAAAAAACTTCAAATCACGATGCATTAAATTCCTCACGACGCGATATTAGAAATATATTAAATAGAATCCAGAATTTTCCGGCAGGTCTTAAAATCGTAAAGCGGTATGTAAAAAGGAGGGGACTGTACTTTATTGTGCGGATCATACATATTTTTCATTACGATGACAAAATCGTATTGCCGACAACGAAGCACGCAAAGTGACGCGTTAATACAAAAATTGATACAATTATCGACAAAAAAAGATTAGTTGCTGTCAGGATAACGATAATAAAACATAAGTCACAGGAAAGTCGAAAGCTCGTTTGCTTGATAAAAAAAAATATACTCTCCTGGCCCGTTCCGACTGGCTTGATCGAAGATATTCTTTTCGATATCTTATATTTAACATCGCGCTTGTTCAGCGATTCGCTTTCCGCCTTTTGTCGACTCTCTCGCGCGACCTGTTGCACGTCGACGAGTCATCAGCGAACGTATTTTAATTTTCGTTGCACAGATAAAGCGGATCGCTCGAGCAGTCGGAGGAGGCCTTATCACGATATTGCCCAACAACCTGACTACCGGTTCCCAACCGGTTCGTCGGTCTTAGGGCGCGCTTCAGACGCGGACCGGTTCTAACTGCTCTTTGCATGCATTTTATACATATATAGGAGAGTTAAAAAAAAGGAGAAAAGTGAGAAACGTGCGGGCTTCGATTGTCGGCAGTCACCGCTTCTTTTCCAAAACTTGAATAAGCAAAAAAAAGTCGTGTTCGTATGGTCGAGACTGCTCGCGAATTGCTCTTCACTCTCGATCATTCGATCACGTGAGACCTCGGGCGTATTTGTTTCACGAGATATTTATACAATTGTCCGATTATCCCCGATTGTACGATCCGTGAATCTATAACTTAGCAAAAATGTTGGCACGATTTGTTGAAAATTCAATTCGAAATTAATGAGTCGTCAGCAAGGATACAAGAAGTATTTTCTTCAGCAATGGAGATAAATTTCTCCAGGCAGAAGACAGACTTCTCTACCATTCAAAGTTTGGATCTCAGGTATCTATCGCATTCTAAGTAGCGTTCTTTATCTGAGCCTACTCTACGGATATAACGTCCGATTTAAGAGCGCGAGCTGATATTTTTTTAAATCGCTTTCTTGCACGCGATTCAATTCCCGCGGGAAGAGACGGTCTCCTGAGCGACAGTCGCGACCCCGAAAACACGTCTCCCCGTTCAAATTTCTTTTAGCAATTTATGCTAAACATTATGTGGCCGGGCTTTCAGGCACAGCCTAGTTAGTTAGATGCAGCACATAGAGGCGCGAGATAATGAGTCAGCCAAGCAGCTAGAAATAGTTCTATGCGCGTATTGAGTATTCATGTGTGGCATATTCACTTTGCTTCGTTATCATTCTCTCGATATAATTGGAAAAAATGGCTAAATATCGAATAATGGTAACAATTAAAGAAACGATAAAAGAAAAACTAATTCTTTTATTGTCATCTATTTGCTCAGCAAAATGAGATACAAACAGCTCGCTCTGCGTCTAAAGTGACGGGTGAACAGGCCACTTAGGATAATTGTAATTTTCATTAGAACACTTATTCTGATTAGAAATAAGTGTTTATCATATTTTTTGTGTATCGTTTTTGCACCTTATAGTGTCATCGACTGAATCGAGTCATCTTCTTGATCAGAGACTCTTTCGCCTACATGTTTCGTGCCTATTTTTCAGTTTTGCACCCGAAATTCAGTTTCCTCTTTCACCATATTATACCTCATAACGGGACTCGACTGCACAGTTAACATCGCGTTTTCTATTGGGTGCAATAAAATGAATAAGATTTGTCGTAAAATATTGTTGGGTTTTTTATCTGTTTTATTTTTTCGGTGAGAAACAGGCGTAACGTGGGATCGATAGACCTTTTTTTTTTATAACACGGCTCGATCTCACATAGAAATTTTATTTAAATAACGCCTGTAGATATCTCTGGCACGTTTTTAATTAATTAATCATTTCATTTAGTAGAAATAGGATATTAGATACTTTCCGTATCTCACGGAAATAAGAAATTGTTTTTTTATCACATAAGTTTTCATATGCACGTATACATATAGATTTCCATACATTTAGGCATACACGGATTCAATATATTTGTATACATATATATTACAGATATATTCGCAGAAAAAATAACAATGAGTACCGATGCTCTAACGGCGAGTGAATATACATATATAACAGTTATTAATATTATTATCATTATTATATTGTAATATTTACTCTTGTAGAGTATCATTGTTATCGGCTTTAGTTTACTGTAGCATCGCGCGCCGCGGTTATACATACTTCTTAAATCAAGATGGCTATAATGCACGATGTTAGCCTTTGCACGATTTATACAAAAGAGAAAAGATGCTATAAAGATATAAAGCAACGATTATGATACACATACCACGTACCCATGCCGCACACACAACACACACACACACATGTACACAACAGCGTATGCCATACATAATCATGCAGGTGAATACGTACATATATATGATTATACTAATATATTAATACTTCCCATAAATACGTAGCCCACACGCAAATGTAATATGCATAATTGTGTATGTTGTACAAACGATTGACATGCGAGTGATCAATTGAAGACGCGAGTCGAGGGAAGCATAGTGTCTTCGAAAGAAGATTTTTTATATTGCTATACAGATATAAGAAATTAAGAAAAAGAAGAAACAACATAATGTGTTCATTACATTTATAGGTAACAGTATTCGTTTGTATACATATTTTTTACGATAGAAGGATGAAGATGAACGCGAAAGTGAGAACCTTTCGAGAAAAACACATACCTGCACTTACACACATACACTAACACACACATACATATACACAAACGCTTTTCATACTTAACACATTGTACAACAGTCGCGTCACGTGGACACGTGTAATAAGCACGCAGCTTCGTTTGCACGTAGTCCAAATTCAAATTATAAATAGAATAACAATGGCGTCAGAAACTCAGCCAAGTTAGAGAAACGGTGAGATATAGCGACATTGCACAGATAGGGATAAAGAAAGAAGCGACGAAAGACCTGTGATAGGTCAGGAATCGGACATACTAACATTTTAATGACACATACACACTACCACGCGTGCGTATACGCGAGACACACATGACACGCAAACGAATACAGTTGAACTAAATAGAAACTATTATTAATTGAACGACACGCGGATATTTTATAATCACTACCCAAGTTTAATATATATATATATATATATATATATATATATATATATATTTATATATATATTTATATATATATTTATAAGTATACACATACAAAAGTAGTAATATACGCAACGTAGTAATGCAGTTCGGAACACGGGCGACCACACACAGTAGTTTCCCGACGGCGATCGGAAGGAACATGTAGATTGGATTATCTAGTACCGCGAGAGAGACTTCTACAGATAAAAATAATTAAAAGAGACACTCTTTTGTACTTTTTATAGACCATTTTGTATTTCGCGTTAACATCGCGAATATTGAATATTGATCACATTTATTTAATTTGGAAATGTCGTTTAGGACTTCTAAAAGTGCAACCTCGACACTTTAGTGTATGCCAAAATGTTTTCATATACCATCAAATTTGCGTGCAAAATAGTTACATAGAATTAGAGTTGATTTGCTGCAGTTCAGCCACTTGTACATAGTAGTTTGACGTTGTAGGTTGAAAGCTGAAATAAGCTTATAGTTAATTAATTTAAGATGTACTGGCGTTATAGCCAATTTTTTCGATTTTCAATAATCGTTATTTGCAAAGGTGCGAGAAGTCAAAGGGTTTTGGCGAAAATATTTCTCATTGGGTTTTTTCAATTGCAGTATGAAAATGCATCTATTTACACCGAATCCTGACATACAATCTGTACACTTCTATATTTTTTTATACTTCGAACTTCGCTTCATGTCCTTTATCTCGTGAAAGACTCGAAGAATAATGAAATTAATGATGAAACTTTCCTGTAAAGAAAAATTATGCAAAGATTTTTCTTGTACGGTCAATATGACAAATTATAAATGGAAAGTGCTGATTTTTTTTTTTTTTTTTTTAATGAATGACCCCAAGCGCGAGTATTATTTTTAACCCAACTTCTCGTATTTGACTCTTTGCTATTCAAAAACGGTTCTTCGCTGATAGCATTAGACCATAAGATCAACTCGGAAAGGAAACTCGACGATGTACCTCGCAAAAATTCCGTTCTCGGCGGAGACGGAAGCCTTCTCTCGCTTAAATAAATCCTTGCTTCGTCGTATTTTTTACTTGCACGTGTATCCGACCTGTGAGTTCTCTCGATCGTGCCAAATAATACCAATTTAATGT